AGTCACTCACAGATTAATAAGGAGTAGTGTTCACAGACTTACCTAAGACCAACTTTTCACCATTTAAAATTTTCTAACTGACATTTAAATGTAGGAATACCAGCAAGCTACATATTTCCTTTAAAATATAATGTTACCAATACTGTACGTGATAGAAGATTTTAAATTAAAGCAATTAAAAGTATATTCTTGTTTGCTTTTATTAACTTTTAAAGAGAAATTTTTTTCACAGTAGCAAAATCAATACTCTGAGATAAAATTTCTAACAAGAATTTCCTTTCTCATAAAATTTTACTGGCAATTTAATTTTCCATCTCTATTGAAACATTAAAATGAAAAAAACAATGCTCCTTTCTTTTTTTCTTGCAAAAGGTCTTTATTTACTTTAGAACCCAAGCAGGAGGTACATGTTCAGCTGAGTTCAATCAATTTCTGCATCTTTGATATCTCTTCATTTGCACAGAATCCTGGCTGACAGAAAAATCACTAACTAATTGACTAGAGTATGCTTTATATGTGAGTGTTGGTTACAGTCCTCTTCACAGCCCCATTGTATCTGAGCTGGAAATGGGCAAAAGGGGGGGCCCTCCACACACAGTACTCTGCTGCACAGAATCCAGCTGTCACCTTGGGCAATCCACCCCTTAATGCCTAATACACAAATTCCTAGCTGGATCCAGGTGAATTATTGTGATTTTGTGTTGCATATGTACAGCAGCAAATCACTGCACTACTTTGGGCACTGAGGGGAAATTAAAGGGCTCACTGTGTCACTCAGTCTGAGACAGGAACACAGACATGAGAAAAACAAGGGTCCTTTCCAGTCCTTTGCCATAACAAGGGACAGAGAAGGAGGGCTGTTCAAAGCCTTGCATAGGTAGTAATGCCTTGCTTCATTCTAGGCTCTCCCATCTGATGATTCCAAAACTATTTGTATAGCTTGAGTCACTGGAAGATGCCAAGACAGACACAAATATTATGCAAACGTCATGGCAGGGAATTGGGGATGCAGCCAAACTAGGTAACTTCAGTCCAAGACTCATACTGAGATCTACACCTAATACAGCTTCTGCTGTTTCTTATGCTAGAACGGGTCTTTCTAGTGAATGGAAGCCTCCTTTTATAGGACCAACACCAGAACAAAACTGTGCCTTGCAGAAACGTGGATGGGAGCACATACACAGCCACACTCTGTCACCAACTGTGTGGCTCCCACCAGGTAGCAATTAGCACAGAATATGTGCACCACAATATGTAGGCACAATAATCCTTTACTGCTGGCAAGCCCCCTCATCCAGCATCTCCTGCTTTTCTGGTTTTCAGTCAGACTCGTACAGCCAGCACTGCCCAGCCTTTGGGAAGGAGGCTTCTCGTACAATGATGATTTTTGTCCCAGTGCAATGTCACTTTCCCACACAGAGCAGTCCCTTGATCTGGGAGTAGTGCCCACGACTTCTTCAGGAACCACTTGCAAAGGACATTGCAGCTCAGCAGGCCCTTTGTAAATGTGGGGCCGTGACACATTCATCAGTAACAATAACCTCTGTAATCATTTACAATGTCTTTGGGCCTCTGTGTGTAAAAAAATGCTGCTATGCCAAGCCAATGGGAGAAAAAATTGTGCCGTGGTTGTGGCTTTAAAACAGGGACTGTGAAGCATTATTTGTATCAAGGGATGAAATAACAAGTTGGAAGGGTGAGAAAACTTGAAAGGAAATAGGCTTAGGGAAACAGAAGCTGGAAGTAATCAATAAATCATAGAATAAAGTAAAGAGAAAGAACCTTTAAAGTGCCCAGCTTAAATGTCAAGAGTATTAGAACAAAAGAGCTCAAAGCAGGAGAATGTGTGACAGGAAAATATGCTGAAAGTCTGACAGAAAGTATATTCACTCCTGAGCATGGAAAAAAGTACAGACAACGAAGGGCAGCAGAGAAAAACAAAGAAATTTGGCAACTGTGTAAATTCCTTTTCCTCATATAGTCTGAACACACAGGGTCAGTGTTATTGTTTCTAGAAGACTCTGGGAAGTAAAACTGGGTAAAAAAACCCCAAACATCCCAGTAGTGGAAAAGATCAATTTTAAATTTTATAGTATGCTGGAAATGTGTTATCACCTATGCGTGAAGGTATGCCATCAATATTGCAGAGTAATAGGATCTTGCTTACATTATACTACACCAGAAAAGAATCAGAGCCAGGGTGGAGTTGGTCTTATATTTATCTCTGGGCAAATTAATTCAGCTAAAATTTAGGTTTTTTTCTAATGACACTCTTTCAGTGATGCATTTAACCTTATATAGCTCCAGAGTCACTCAGGTCTAGGCATATGTATTTGTCCTACTGAAATCAATGTATATATCCACATACTTAAAGTTAAGCGGGTACTCAAATATTTTTCCAAGCTGGAGCCTAAGTGCTGATGGATTACCTAGCTAGATATAAATTGCATGTTTGCTTCTGGTTTTGGCTCCTTGCTCGAAAACAGATACTTATTCTGTCTGAAGCAAGCTTACAACAACTGTTATTCATGTAATATAATAGATTATTCTGGTACCACACACGTTGGACTTTGTGAAACAAAACTTTCTGTTCAAATGGGGTTTCCAGACAACTGAGCAAAGGCTGCTTATGCACTACTTAGCTGAAACCTGTATGGAAAGAAATGACCCCTTCTGCTATACCTTGAAGAACAGTATTTGGGAAGCTGTCATAGAGGCTGCTGGGACATGTGTCCCAGTGAAAGGCAGACAGACCAACTTCTGGCCCTGAGGTTTGGGTGATAGGCTTCCTCAAGCATGGAAGATTTTAGGGATTGTGCAGCTATTGTGCCACAGATCTGGGCCACAGCTATTCTTAAGTGCCCTGGTGGCCCCAGCCGCTGCATAGGGCTTTTGTTGGGGCCAAGGGCCAAATGGAAACCCTTTGCAATATGTGTGCAGCCAAGACACGGTTACAGTAAAAAGACATTAAAACCACACACATTTCTCATAGTGTGACTAAAGCATCACCTTAAAACCATGTGGACCATTCAGACAATGGCAGGGGAGAAAAAGTACATTGAATTGGTTGTGAAATACTGTCAGTTTAAATCAGGTAGTGGTATTTGATAGGGAAACAGAGAAGCTTAGTGCATTTTAGAGTCTTCATTAAACTATCCTGCCCTCCTGCTGCATGCACATAAATGACAGTACTGATGTGCAACAGTAATGTCAGCAGGTAAATTGAGTGTTAATGCTTGTGTTAATGTTTCTGAGCATGCCCCCTATAAAAAGGAGATGTGTCCAAAAACCTGATGGGTCTGACATAAGCAGACTGCTGAGTCAGGGAAAAAAACCAACTTACTGCAAGTGCTCATTTGACAGCAAAGGATTTTGTGGTATGCCTCAATGAGACATTTAAAATTTCACTCATAATTTTATGAAATGTCTCTCATTTAAATTGTCAAAGCCTGACAGGCTTGTTAACAGCATCAAGGGGTGAATGGTCCTTCATCTTCCTGCTCTTGCTCAACTGAATGATCGATGAACAAACTAAAGCTGACAGCTGCTGCAAAGATATCAAGAATCAAAGGAGATGCAAAAGATGTTCCTACTCCTCCTTGCCTAATTCAGCCTAAAGAATTTGATAGTCTGTTCAAGAAAAGGTTGGAAAATCAAGAACAGCAATAGTTTAAAATCTGTCCTTAAGCCCAGCTTTTCTGCCCACTCCAGCAAGGCCCACTACACTGGCACAAGGTAAGGCAGCTCATGAGACTGGAATCCACTAGTAATTTTCTGTTTCCAGGGGTCTTCTTCCACCAGGAACTCAGGAGCTGAGAACCCAGTAAAGGAATAAACACAACAGGCTATCAGAGTGTCCCCAGGATTTACACGCTATCTTGACAAATTTGACTAAGAACAGTAAAACAAGTATTTTTCTTAAGTAACTGTCGTCCATTAAAATGCCAGTATTTTTTTGGGTGACACCAGCTCTCACTTTATGTCATCAGTCCATGTCTAAGTTTCCCCAGATTTTCCTGTAAAAAAAGCAGTGACGCACATAAAATACAATGATTTTTCACAGCATATCAATACTTGCTGAAAGCCAAATTCGACTTTCAAGATGTACTTGAAATCTCATTCTAAGAATTAATGAGGGAACCAAAGCATGTTACATGAATAAATGGCCTATCAGATTGGCTAGGTTTTGAACATTAGGTCAAGATTATAATAAACTAGGTGAATGACATGCAGACCAGGAGTGACTACAATCTCAGGATGTGTAACACACTGAGGGGACACACAAAGGAACATGGGGAAACTCTGCATAGCCTGCTCAGGGACATTTTGTGATCAGGAAGTCAGACATCATTAAATAAATGATTCCTTAGATGTTATTCAGCTCTCTGCTATCAAGCCAGCATGGTCTACACTGCAGTTACTGCATGCTTGGCCAAACTGATAAACTTCAATGATGAGGTGACAGGCCTGGCATATTAGGGGAGAACAATGGATGTGATTTCTCTCAACTTTGGCAGGACCTTCAACATTGTCTCCTGTAACACCACTTGCATAACCTTCAGCAAACTGATGAACTACATAGTAAGTAAATAGACAGTGGACTGTCAATTTGCAGGTGGACTGTAAACTGGCAGAACTACTGGGCTCAAAGGCTTGTGATGGGGACAAGATGTCCAGCTGGAGGTCAGTCACATTTTTACTCTGAAGGTAATTGAACAGTTAAATAATCTGCCCAGAGAGAATGTGAAGTTTCCCTCCTTGGAGACATTGCAAGCCTCAGTGGACACAGCCCAGAGGCCTGAGGTGTTACGAGTTCTAGTTTACACCACTTTGAGAAGGGGAGTTGGACTAGATGATCTCCACAGGTCCTTTCCCACTTCAGCCATTCTATGATTCTCTGACAGCCCCATCATTTTTTATACCTTGAGGGTATTGGCATAATGAATATTTGTTGCTTTTATTCTAGGAATGGCACTATCAGTCAGTGTTTTTTACAGAAAGCGTATCAGTTTATTGTAATTTCCTTGACATACAAGCTGAATTTACCACTCTATTCCCATCCTTATTTTTCCCATTTCTTACTTCAACTTTGCAGAGTGCTCTCTAATGAATAAAGTCTATAGAGTATCTCACACAATGAGAAAAAGGAAGAACTGATTACCCTTTATTGAGAAAAAGTCATTTTTAAAGCTGCATTTGTTACCTAGTTCTGTTGAGTCAGCACAAAGCCTTTCTTTGTTGCAGAGTAGTTTGTCTGCAGTGTGTGTACCATAGTGTCCTTTGTAAGCATGCCATATATAAGGTCTGGTATTCCTATCCCAGGGTTTGCAACTCTGCATGGTGCCACAGTCCCAAGAAAAACTCAGACAAGGAAAGCCAGTTTCAGGAGCTCCATTTTCATCCCATTTCTAATGCAGTGGTCCTCCACTGAGGTGGCAGTGAGCTCAAAAATAATTTTAGGCCAATATTTAGGCAGAGCTGTGTGTTAAAACGAACACAGTGTGTGTTTGTATATGAGGCTCATCCTGCCCTGCACTGCTGCCCAGCTGCTAAGAGAATCCCCAGCGGTAACCCCAGAGTGAAGCAGGATGTTGGGGAACATGGAGACAGGGTGTTCTTCAGCACCCCATGAGATGCATCTAACAACAAGCAAGCTGTGCTGTTTGCCAGTGCCTGATGCTGATTATAAGCATCTATGTTGGGAAAGATGTGGCTACATAGGAAAAGTTGGAGCTAAGCCCCTCTGAGCAGGGATGCCCCATCTGTTCCTGAGAAGATCCAGAAGAACCCTGCTCCATCCAAGGCTTCAGAGCGACACAGGGCTGAAACACTCCTGGGAATATCAGTGGTGGGCAGGGAATCAAACAGGTCACAGAGTCCTCTTCAACCCACCCAGTGCATGTGCTGAAGTTAGTCACTACCAGTAGCTGCTATATTTATAGAGGGATGTCGTAAGTTTGACGTAAGACACGATTTGTTTTTTCTGTACAGCAGGGCAAAGGTGCCTTTCTCCTCCCCTTCTTCAGTTTTTGGATAAACCCTTACTTGTTTTCACAGGAACATTAGCTCAAATCTGCTGCTACTGTGCACAGCCGATAAAACTATTGCTTGGAAAGACCATATGTCACATGGAACTACTCAAGAGGCATAAAGCCCCGCTTTTTGCCAATCCTTTAAAGATACGATTTTATGCTCAGTTAAAATGGAAAAGAGCATTATGTTTAAAGATAAACCCATTTACTGTGCAGCCGCTTTGCTAAATTCTGTCACCAAATTACTTGTTAGTAAGACATTTGGGCTGCCTTTAAAAAAAAAAAAGTTTGTTGCACATCGCTTTCTCCTTGTTTATCAGTTGCTATGACAATGCTAATGACAATATCACCAAGACAAGGACTAAAACCTTTTACTAGAGACAAGAAAAAGAAAAATCAATTCTGAGGAGAAAGTTCCCCTTATTAAAATATTTCTTGTTACCCTTTTTGACCCAGCTAGTTGACCAATATTCAGGGTCCCTACAAGTTACTTGTGTTTGGAGAACAAACGGCTGAGGGAGTGAATTGAGCTTTTTAACGTGTTTGTTTAGAAAGAATGTACACAATGTCCTGTTACTCTGGGCACAGCAGGAGTCAAAACAATAGTCAGTGTTTTCTCTTTTCACACTTTCAAGCTTCTTTTGATCCACAACTCAAGTTACCTCTCTTAGGTTTCTCTCAAGGTCAGGCTACAAGGGTTTTCCTTGCTGGCTCTGGCGTGTCCTTGCTACTTGCTATGTCTGCTTCTCTGATGTTTCTGCTGTCACTTTCTGAGTTGCTCCATTTCATCATATGCCACCTTGTCCCCAGCCTTTGCAGTTGGATCCTGGAGAAGTGCCTCAGCCCCCTCAGTTCAGCACTGTAGGCATGTGTGCCGTGGTACGTAGGGTGCGGAATGTTATGGTGCAGCTCCTGGAGTCTCAATGAGGATGTCCCAAAAAGAAGGCAGTTCTTTTCCTAGGGAAAGGAAGCTTTCTCACCCACCATCTTCCACGAGGTTTCATGGCTGACTTTCAGCATAACACCGAATTTATTTCCAACAGTGTATTTTTGCTCCCTGTCAGATCAGTTTCTCTACAGTAGTGCTATAAGGTGGGGGAGCAGAAAATATGTTACTATTTCCTAACAAAACAGCCTCTGATGCAACTATAATAAAGTTGTGAAAAAGTCCTACAGGAGTTAAACAGATTTGACAGCATTTAATTTCCATAAATTTAGGGCCTGATCCTGGTTTTCTTTTGCTAATGAGTACTAGAGGGAGATAAAGTATGATTTTTTTCAGACAAACTAAAGACAGAAATAATGCCCCAACTCAGCAACAAAAGACAGGGATTAAGCTGCTGGGACATTTTTATGGCCAACAGAGGTAATTTCAGCATTCCTGCTCTGGGTTAGACCCATCTTTGATGTGACCAACAGGTCTCCTGTCTAGCCCTGACTGTGATACACAGACACTGCCTCTGGCAGTAGTTCTGCTGCTGGCCCTTGGGGCTCTTTGATTGGAACAAAGGTTGCATATAGTATAATCTCCACTCAGACAGGGAAAGGTCTTTGATTATGAATAGCATAAACTCATTATAGTTGCATTTTCTTTTGCTTTTAAGGAAACAGACACCAGCAGTTCTAATTTACCTCGTGTTTATACCAGGGCTATTAACATGGCCCATTCAACACATTAAGGAGACTGCTTCTAGTTGTTTTCAAGCATGACACATCTCTAGTTTTCATATACTTCCTTTTTATCATTTCTTCCATAAACCCATGTCCTACAATTTCCCACCTTCATACTTAGGTAGGTGATGGTCTGTGGTGGGTTTCAGTGTAGACTCTAAATGAGAAAGATGCTCATAGATGAAAATGACCTCATAGACCTATAACTTTGGAAACAACTCCTTCACTACCGCTGATGAACCAGGTATAATTTTCTGAAGGTCCCAGCAACACAAATTATGTCTTTGGCCACATCCACAACAGCAATGTAATACTTTGGCACTAATGAGACAGTCAAAAGTTTTCTTTCTAGACTGTGTTTCCACCCATTAAACGGGGGTGGGCATAGTCCTGTCAGCACTGGTGAACTTCCTGCCATGAAAAACCTCTGAATTCAATAGTACCTCATTTAAATGGAATTTCATATACCAGAACAGAGGGAGCTTGCACCTTTAATTAAAAATCTCAGGCTATCCACTCATGCAGCCAGTTCTTAATCCCTAGGAAATGCCCTTTGCTGAGACCATTATTTCTTAATTAATAGACAGTGAACAGTATATATTTGGTTTAGCCTTTGAAACATATATTTGGTTTAGCCTTTGAGAAAGGGGATGACTTTTCTCCAAGCATTGTAGAGGGATAAACATCTCTCTGCATGAAGCATCCTGTTATGGGTATATTGTAAGTAAACTAAAGTGAATGATTCTGCTGAGCTCTCTGCAGAAGATGGAGTTTGGAATAGTCATGTCTTCTGAACATGGGTATTCTGTACAGTGGGAAAATGGATTGGAGGGCAGCGGGGAGGGGGAGTAATTAATTCTCACTTTAAAAGTTTGAAGGAAACAGTACGAAAAGCTCTAGCAAAATTATCACGGTAAGATTGCCAAAAGTGACATTAGGTATTTTCATGTTTACAGATTATTAATTTCTTACATTTTCAATAAATTGATAGTTGCTAGGTCAGAGTCTTAGGAAAATATCTCCCCTCTCAAGCAAGTATCTTTAACAGTCCACTCAACAAAAATTATTCTCTTCCGTCATACTATCAGAACAAGGATTTGAGAACTCATCACTCAGACCTGAACTGTGGATCAATCCTACATTTGCAGAAATTGGTACATGTCCCAGTTCGATCCGGGCCAGAGAGGAGCACTCAAGCTTATTTCTCTTGAACTGCCATGTGACTGGGCTTTATTCTGCCTGTATCCTTACACTGACCTTTTGCTGGCTACAAGACAACAGTCAGCTTCAGTCAGCATAAAGCTGGGTGTTGAAGATAACCCAGCAACATTTTTGGAACCAGTGTGAACCCAGTGTCAGCACTTGCAGTACAAGTCTAGCTGAAATATATTTTATGGCATAGAGAGAGCACTGGAACTGGACTTGAAGCACTGAGCCACAGCCTTAGAAGCATGCTCTAATGTAAGATTACCTTATGAGGATATTTTGCCTCAATCTCTCCTTCTGGATGTGTTCCACTTTGCTCACAATGCTTTCACATTTACTGAGTCAGAGAGCCTTAGACTAACTCTTCAGTGAAGGGTTCAGGGCACTTGCTGGAGAGGGCAAATGCATGGGCTTCAGCACAGACTGAGGCACCTCAATAAAGTAGAACAGTGTCAACAGGAGCAACAAGCCACCTCCAGCCCCACAGCATTCACTGGCCTGCTTAGACACACATTTTTGGAGGAGGACAGAGCATTTGAGGTAACTGATATCCCCACTCCCTTGCTCTACCTGAGACCACTGGCCATGAGGGAGGAGATTCAGTCCCATTCTGTCCTTTCATACCCAGCCACTATGCCAGTGCAAGCTGTAAGAGCTCTACGGCTCTGGGCTAGTGCAGCAACCGTACAGAGAGGTTTCAAACATCTCAGTTCACCCCGCTGCCTGTCTCCTGTATCCTGCCTGCATCCTTACTCTGTAATTGTTTTGTTCTGCTTATGGCACTTGGCTTAAGGCTGCCAGGTACCTTGGCAGGCAATTTCCCCCTATCCTAACCTGACTGGTAGCACTTGACCGACAAAATTCATGTTATCAGGTCAGGATCTCCTCTGTGCCACCAACAAACAAGCTGCCAGGATTAGTTTAAAGCTCCACCATGTTCAAAGAGACCAGATAGGTGGTTTATTTCTTCCTTCATCCTTACACCTTCCTCCCTTTCTATCAGGAACACCATTTGCTGCTAAACTAATGTTTGCAGCAGTTATTATCAGCACACTGACCTGGGACTTGCCATCATTCCACAAAAGCAATCCTACCCTCAGCTTTGTTAGGAGTGATCTAGCTCCAGGTTTTTATTCAGTGCCATATTCTCAGCTTTGCTCTTGCTGATCATAAGCAGTTTTTTGGTGAAAATCAGTACTCCTGACACTTAGTCAAAGCCACCTCTTGTTTAACTCCTCAGGCCAAAAGTCTCCTCAAAAGCCGTGACCCCTGAATATTAGGTTAGACTGAATAGATTGCCTGTGGTCGCTAGCTATAGCAATGTCTATCTTTGGGAGTAAAAGATTAACATACCCCTGTGGGAAAAGAAAATTCTGACTTGATGATAGCATTTCACACTTCCTAAACAAAAAGAGAGGTAGAACAAAATCAGGGCCTTGTCCTTTTGCTTTAGCTATTATTCCTGACTAAAAGTGTTTGCTCAAAAAGTCACTGTGAGGTCTTTTTCCAGTCCCACATGCTTAAAATTATTATTGTTTTGAAAAACTGGTATCAACTGCTTGTGCCCTGCTTTGCTACAATCATCCAAAGGCCATTAAGCAAAAGTCCTGGAAAACCCCAGTCTTGTGGCACAGGTTTTCTTTCCTCTTTCAGAGCAGTTCCATTATGCCACTTTTGAAGGGTTTGATATTTTGTTCCCAATACTGATTTAGAAGCAGCTGCTAATAAATTGACAGGTTGTGACACCTTCCCATAATTTCAGAGCTTTTTCACCTTAGCTCCTCAGTGCTGCTTTTATGGTTTCAGAAGGCTTTTTGTTCACACAGCTTCCATCTTGAGTAGCTCGTTGAATGGGGTTGTCAAGACAGCTATGCTTCGTGTACATTTTTCCTGGAACCAAATTCAGTGCTGCCTATAAAATTACAGCTCCTCTGTCTGCAGCAGGTTTCATTCTGCAATGGCTAGCTTTTGATTTCTGTGATTTCTCATCTTGCTAGAATCAAATCTATTTAAAATACTTTCATAAGGAGATTGTTTTTATTGGTTACACTTGAAATTCATTCTCTTCAGCGTGTTACCCTCTTTCATTACACACCTAACAAATATAGGCTCGTCATTTGCTCTGTGTTGTGCCCAGTGTGTTCACTGGGAATATAATGTCTGAATATCTGTATCCAGCAAATGGGAAACCAGTTGTTATTAGAGCCATGTTACTACTCTTCAACATTTGCATCGTGGCACTACTCGGAGGCCCTGGCAAATGAAGCTCTGTTTAGCTTGGATCTGTGCGTATCTATATGAAAAGTGAGCATGTACTCTAAATAATCATTGGCAGATGAAATAAGTCTTTGCTAAATGTAGCTTGCCAGCAATATAGTTTTTCTTCATCTAAGACGTGAACCCCTGCGTATCTTCTGTCTCCAGTAATGTGTCATTACAGAGAGGCTTTTTTTTCCACTTTTGCTTGGCAGATTCCTGCTCTATGGCTTACTTCTGAGGAAGGTCAATGAAAAGTAACCAGACAAGCCTAATGTCAGCCTGTGGGTGTAAACTGGCCACACAAAGATATGCTTTGCTTCAGTCACAATTAAAAAATAAAGATTTGCTTCAATCACAACGAAAATTAAAAAATAAATTTAAAAAAAGATTTAAAAAAAATTAAAAGGGTGTAATTTAAAGACTGAACATAGTTGTCTTTGTGGAAATTGTTTTAAACTTTGAAATATTTTTTGTTTTCCCTGTCAAATAACCACAGACAGAAAGTGTTTGAGAGCACTGAACAAGGATCCAGAGCAAAAACATCGAGAAAAATGGTAGGCAATGGTAGGGTCTGATTTTCTGGTTCTGCATGACAGTGTTTGAACTTGGACATACAGAAGAGGCAATCAATTAAGAGCAATCCATTGATTCTTTCCTAGGGCTCACTGAGACTTACCTGATGTCCAGAAGTCTGAAATCTGTGCTAGGCATATGTCTTTTCCTCAGCCTTCCTCCTTAGGTGCACCTACAAGTATGGAAATGGAAGCCTGTTGCTGGGACAACAGATGAGACACAGCACCTGTTCAGCCACTTTTCACCTGGGGGCTGCTTATAGGGGAAGTTGGAAAAGTCAGGCAGAACACCCAATCCTTTTGAAAACCAGGCATGACAAGAAATGGGATCTCTTTTTATCAAAGATTGCTGGCAGTATAGCTCAGGACAGGGAGGGGAGAAATAGTTAAATTTTCACAAAATTTCCTATTTCTATTTGCAAATACTAGAAACATTTTAAAAATCTGAATGTTATTTTGAAGGCTAGTTTAAAATGTTATATTAATGGCTAAGTTTTACACAGATCTTTTCACACTATGGCTTCACATATTCATAACTAGTTGGTGCTGTGTGCAGTATTATTACTTATGTGATAATAGGGCAGCTGAAAAATAGTTTAATTTTACTGGCATATCACTAAGCACTCCTGCTATCTGGTACCACAACAACTGCAATACTCATAAATCTCCTGTATGTTTTGTAATGAAATAATATTGACAGCCTGAGCATTACAGCACAAAGAGGAAGTACTAAGAAAGAAGACAGTTATACTAAATAGATATCATTATCTGCCACTAATTTATCTGTTACTAATTACGCTTAACTTAAAAGAACACTTTTTAAAAAAGTAAATAAAAAAGTGAAATTAGAAAAAAATCCTTCTCATCTCTGAATTAGACTTTCAAAATGGCTATAATTTCTGCTTTTCCCTAAATTGAAAAAAAAAATAAATTAAAAAAAAAAATAAAAAGCAAAGATCACCTTAACTATTTCCAGTGAAATATAAAATCTGAACTTCCCCCAGCTACAAAGAAAACAAAGAATTTCAGTAGCATGTTGCTGATCTTGTTACCAAACAATTTTGTGTTTGGAGGTTTTATTGGTAGTACCACAAATAGCTTACATTCTAAATACTTCCTTTTTGAATTACATGCCAGGTCAAATTCTTCTTTTCTTATGCATTAAGCACTTATGCTAGCTCACAGGTATTTTGGGAATACTATCCATCATAAAACTGGGACAGATTTTGCAGTCTCCTATCTATTTTGTTCTACCCTCCCTTTTCTTAATGACTTACATTGAAAGTATCACCTTAGAAACACCGCAATATGGTGAACTCTCACTTGTTTTTTTACTTTTTTCACAGCTAAATTACAGGACAAAGAGTTTAACAATAGAATTCCTTTCCAAAGCACCAATATGGATCCATTCTATCATACTCCATGCCAGACAATTTGGGTAAGTTTTAGAAGAAGCTGAGAAGCTGTTTCTTGTTTTGGTTTCTATTACACTTCTATACAGTATATAAGTTACTAATGTTATATATCCTGTTGCTTTATTAAATCATTGCACCTTCATGGCTTTTCTTGGTCATTTGACCTTGTATGATACCACTCAAGAGTGGTGTGAGAAGGGATATTTGTATCTTACTCTGTGTTTAGAAGGGGGAATTCTGTTTTGGCTCTGTTGTGACTGTTAGCAAACCCTGACAAGGGCAGTCCTGGCCAGTTAACCTTTTGGAAAGTTATGCCAAACAAATTGCAGAAGACAGATATAAAGCACTCATCTTCAGCTTCCCACTTGCCAAGTAGTTTGTTTCCCCATGGTATTTTCCTAAGCAAGCACACCAGTCAGGTACAAGACAACTCACTTGTGTATCTTGATATTTTGCACAACTTTTCTGCTAATATTTCCTTCTCTCACCACCTACAGCTGTTTCCCCAATGCCAACACATTTTTTGTCAGATCTGTGGTTGATGGCTGAAAACCCCCCCAACCTCCAATTGCTATTTGTGATGTGATTAGACAGGTCAAGTTTAATTTCAGCACCGTGCATGAATCTGTTATCCAATCATCCTAATGATACACTACTCAAACCAGCAGTGGGGCTGAGGACAGAAAGAAAACCTTGATTGTAAGTTGTCTGCCAATGATTGGAGTTTGTTATGAAAGAACACTAACGCAATCATCCTTGGCTCCCTTTGCCAAAGGTAGGGAATGTTCATATTTCTTCATTGTCACTGTACCTGGAGCTGTGTGACAGAGATGAGTAAAGGTATGCCAGAAAGAATACAGCATTGTGGGAGGGGCTGCATTTCCTCAGGGTTAAGGCAAGGGTATACGCTTAATCAAATCAGCACCTTTAAGAAAATACCATCTTTCAGCCCCTCCTCAACTGAATATTGCTCTCCAGGTTACATAATCCAGCCTGCTGAATCAAGAAACCACCAGTGGCAGTCCCAGATAACTTGTTTTGGTTTGCCATTTCATTAGT